CCTCGGTTTTGCGCGGAGAATATTATAGTCGCCATGCGAACTCATTAAAGTCGACCGATTCGGTTAATAGGCCGAGCAGTGTTCAAGAAATGGGTTTCCCACCGACAAGGATGCCCTCAGAAAAGTTCAGCTTCCGCAACACTATATCACTAATATGGGGGAGATGCATCTATGTGAAAATCAGTATGGAGTGCATTTCACTTTGGAGCATATTTTGCCTCTCCCCTCAAAGGAGATTAGATTTTGGAGCGATGTCTGCACCGCAAGAGCGGGATTTACTGTGTAAAACAGTCGATTTTGCTCTGTGAGTGTAGTTTGCTCTTCGCAAAAAAATTGATTTTGCTCCGTGAGCATTAAAGTGTTTCTTTTCTCCAAGAAGCGTTGATTTTGGTTTGTAAGAGTAGTTTACTTTCCATGATGAGTAGGTTTCTCTCCGCACTACTATCACCTGGTTTCTCTAGGGGCAAAATGAACCGCGCTAGGCAGAAAGGAACCGAGCCACATCAGCTATCACCAAATTTCATCTGGAAATTTAATTTTTTCCCAAAATTTGTGCAAATTTTGGTGAATTTTCAGCATAGTACGAAGCAAATTCCTTAAAATTTTCAACGGAATTCGCACCAACGTTCTCTTGTAAAAAATTGAATTGCCCAGTTTATTTCGGCAATATCTGATGTGGCTCGGTTCCCTTCTGCTATACGCGGTCCAAATAGGGTCCTGTGTGAAATGTTCACCAGATTTCACTCAAAACTTTTCAACAGTGTACTTACCGTGTACAAAAATCCTACTCTGCCGTGCTAAGGAAGAACGCCGTATGAACATTCGAGAGTTGCCAAATTTCCCCAGATTAATAATGTATTTTAAAGGAAAGCTGTGCATATTTTAACTTGAAATTTTCAGGTATTTTAGATCGAATTGCGAGTAAAATCATCTGAAAAATTTGAAGCAAAACATTAAAAAAATGTCCAGTTAATTCGGTTTTTATTGAGGGAAATCTGGCAACGCCTGAAGGCTCATACGGCGTTTCTCCTCAGCACGGCAGTACTGAAAACTAGTTGGGGCAGAAATGGCGAAAGCTGGCAAGGAGGCGCCGACACTGCGGCGAATCCTAACCCAATCTCTCCTCATCACTCTGGACGGTGAAAAGTCTTATCGGATTAGCTTTTCCAAGTGCCAGCATTTATTAATTTTATTCTCGTCCCTTGATATGATACGCGATCCCGGGTCCCGGGGAGGCCGGAAGGGGTGAAACCGGGGGGAGGGGGGTTGAAATTGAGAAGGGGCCCGTCGCGACGCGCTGGCCGAACGCCCTAATTGATTACATTGCGCCAGGGAGGGAGACGGATACTTTTTTCGTGTTTTCCAATCTGTCGGAATGATCGCGCCTCGGCTACAGTGTTCCTCCCGAGTGAAGGTTAATTAGTTTCTCGAGCGTCCGCGACGTAGCACGACGCCAGGGAAACTGAACCACATTTTCCAATAAGGAACCACTATTCCTGGCTCATATTATAAACAAAATATCGACGGTGGAGGTCGGCAATCACATAACTCGTCGGTTTGCGTCGTCGCGGACTTCCTGTTATACTTTAGTTTTTAAACGGAAAACTACTCAACGGCAATTCTTTAAAACTGCCGTGATTTTTCTTCTCTGTGCGAAGAAAATTCTGCAAAAACTTCAAGGAATGACGTCAATTTGTTCTCCTTTAAAAAAATAACATAGAAGTGGAGATTTTCAGACGCAGCAAATGAGTTATATGATTGCCGACTTACATCGTCGGTATGTGCCATTGGTTCCCCTATGCAGAGAGGTGCTTTTGTGGAAGAGGCAGAGATAGTGGTTCCTCATTATAAGTAGTCCAAGATTAATTTTCTCCTTTATTACTTTTATCCTTCGGTGTAGAATAGTGGTCCATAGCGTTTTTCGTTAAATCCTATGTAAGATTATTAGTATATTAAAGTGATAGTATCTCCAAAATTGTCAACGTGTGCGCTCTGATACATCACCCCACTCAGTCAAAACGGAAACTTTCTCCTCTATTTTCACCCTTTTGGCGTTCCTCCAAGAAAAGAGGGAATGGGCTTTTTGCCGATTGATACTTTTCCTGCGAAATGTACGCACTTAACTTTTTGGCACTTTTTCCCGCTAATTTTAAGCGTGAGGCGCAATTCAATTCTGACGGGACGAAATTGAAAAGTTTTCCAATTGATAATGTAAGTGCCAAGAATCCAGCAAAAAGGAAAAGTTCGATCTTTCGTATAGAATGCTAGCTTCCCCAAATTTCCAGGGAAGGGATTTTCCGTCATGACCATTTCCTATTTTCCAGGTTCTATAATCCTGCGGACACTATTATCTCTTTCCAAAAATAGTATTTGAATTTCGCGTGAAGCACCCACACACGTTCTTTAAAAAGCGCCCTGAAATTTTTGGAAAAATACAGTTTCCTGCCCTTGCCTCACCTTCATAGGTTTTTGCGTAGCTGCTTAAGACTTTTTGACCTCGACGCAAAACTTTATTTCACTACCATAATTCAAACCCTCTCCCGCGATCGTCAAATTTTTACTAGAATTTCCTGAAATTTCTAGGTATATATCTTTTCCTTCACTTGTGTAGAACAGGGTGTCTACAAGTCGGGAATTTCCGGAAAGTCCGCAAATAGTACTGTTTTTTTAAGGGCGGTCCGGAAGTTCGGAAAAAGTGCTGAAATTCCGCAAGAAGGTACGGAATTTTTGTAATTTTCGTCGCAATTTAAGCGCGACATTCAAATTTTTGAAATTTTTCGAATCTCGTCGAATGGAGGTCCTGAAAAAGTACTGAATTTTTCTGTTGAAGAGGTACAAAATTTCTCGAAAATGTACTAAATAAGTTCTGTACAAGCACTGATTTTTGGCCGGTGTGTTTTAGTAGATACCCTGGACGCCTTCTCAGGTTTTTACGCATTATTCTAGTTCGTTTTTTCGCCCTCGACACATACGTATAACATCATTCCGCCTTCATAATTCAAACCACCCCTCCCCGAAATAAAGGCCCTTGACTAAACCGCGTGGCATTCAGATTGAATATTAGTTACGTGATAGTGCTTCCATAATGGGCGCACGATGTTGGTCGTACAACGGCGCTAATCAAGGTAGTGAGATCGGGGGATCCTGCGGATCGATTCTCGAATCAACTCGATCGATACATCCCTATCTCGGCAATGCTATCTATCGATGCGCATTCGACGATCCCAGCTCAGACGGCGGTCACGGCCGTGCGGCCGCCGCCCACATCAAACGACGCTGATTAGCAATTGTAATGGCCGCCTTTGTGCTGACCACGACGCGGACGGCGGCACCGCAGCGGAAATATCGTCCGCGGGGTTGCAGGCTCAGGTCCCGGCGCGGACTCCTGGAGGTGCCGATAAGCTAGGCCCGTAAACTTGGGGCTTTACAGCCGCCCGGATTCTTGTTTGCCCACGCGATTAACCTTGGTGCTCGGGATCGCCCGTGTAAATCCCTTTTCTTGCGAGGATTATGGCCGGAAACTCCAAGCAGCTTTGGATGGTCTTGGGGGTGTCTGGATTTTGGAGATATGTGACGGTTCGGGAGGAGGGACCTAAGTCCGCGAAAATTCAAAGTTAATTTCGTAGGATGGAATATTATAAAGCGCTCTACACAGTTTGTGGGGTGGAAAAAGTCAGTCATATAGGTTGAAATGAATTGGACTGACGCGTGGTTTCCCACTGACATTTCAACGCTGCTGAAATGTTGTTGGGTATCTTTTAATTGCAGGATATTGATGAGGTCCCCAGAAAATTTAGCAGCCTTAACAGCACAGTAACCAATGTGGTTTCCCCTTGACATGTCAGCGTAGCTGAAATGGAGTTGGGCATCTTTTAATTGTGCGGGACATTGATGTGATCCCTAGAAAATTTAGCAGCCTTAACAGCACAGTAACCGATACCATACCTTTTTTTTCATTCTGTGAAAGTGCTGTTCATAAATTGGATTGCATTTTGCAAAAAGGAACCAGGATCATTCCAATGTTGCTAAGATTGTGCAACTTTCTTCACCCTGAAAATCTAAACTGATCATCTATACAAAGTCAATCTCCACTCTCAATATACTATGAATTCAAGAGGAAAATGATCCTTGTAGATATGATTTTTTTTCATTACCTTAGTAATTTTGTTGCTAACAATGTATGTTGCACAATCCTAGCATCATTGGAATGCTCTTGGTCCCTTTTTGAAAAATGCAATCCAATTATATAACGACTGCGGAAGAAAAATTTAAGGTCTGTAAAAACTGCGCGCAACAGAGGGACTTGAATCAAACCCAACATTACATAATAATACAAAATATAAAAAATGCTTTTGAAGGTCAGAATTTATGTGGACAGAAATTTCCTCAAAAGCTTCTCTCAAAGTTTTCAATGTTCCTATCGAAGCAAATGTTTATTGGTAGTTACGTTAAGTGGATTCACTTGTTCAAATACAAGCCCCTCACCATTACGCCTCTTTTTCTTGACTACATCACTGCCTACAGCTTCGCCCGCCGACCCTGAAAACACGAGGCGTAGGCGAAATTAGCATTTTTTCGCGACCGCATAAGCGACCCAGACGAAGCGCTAGACCCGGAATCTTAGGGATGAGAAGCCTCAAATGATGGGGATGGCGGAAAGTTGCGGAGGGACGAAGGGTGTTCAGTGGTGCAGTGTTTAACATAAATTAAATCATACCCATATCGCCATGATTATTCCCCTCGCTTCTCTCATTCTCACCCCTGATACATCGCGCGCAAATGAGGGCGAGTGCGTAAATAAATTGAAGAAAACAAGCCGTCGGCACGATCTCTTGCCTCGCTGCCAGATCTCCGAGAATCTCCACCATTTTCCTCGGTATTTTTTTCTGATAGGCCTCTCTTTTAAGCATGGATAGTTGGATTCACCATGGAGAATCTGCGCTATCGCTTCATGGAAAATTAGCTAAAATCAACTTTAAGACGAAATAAGAAAACTGAAATTTCAACGATGATTTTAATTTATTTTTTTTTATAAAGAAGGGCTTCTTTTTCAAAGTTTAATTTTTATGCAACTGGTAAATTTTTTATTTGTTTTTTTCCCCCTCCCATCCGCTTAAAACTTGAGATGATGAGCCTGATCTGATAACATTTATGCCACTCGAAAGCGCAGTGTTTCTCGAAAGGGAACCAAGTAATATCAGCTCTTTTCATTTTACGGTTTGATCTTAAGCCAGAAAAATGAATACCTGCCCGTTTGAAAGGTAAAGGAATTTCCTCTACGGCATAACGCAAATTCTCTGAAATTTTCAAGAGAATCCATATAATCGCACTTTCGTACACTGAAAAAAAAAAGTATCACAATCCCAACTATACGCCTGGCTGATTTTGGCGTCAGATATAAGAGTAGTTGCACTAGCGAGAGGTATGGTCGATCCACCCACACTTTCGGCAAAACTCAATCGTACTGGCGTAACTACTTTTTGGCGTCAAAACCATCCAAAAGTATAGTTGGGATTGTGATTCTTTTTTTCCGTGATGAAAGTAAACCGCATAATATTAGGCAGCTGTTGATATTACCTGGTTCACTTTCCAGAAATTGCCCAAATGTTAGTCAGACATCGAGAATCATGGCAGAACGGATTGCCGCTGGCTGAGGGCGACCTGATTTTCCATGATGTCTCTCATAGCTCTCTTGTTGGCGATCACGATTTTCGTCTTCAACTTGGTGCAACGAAGTTCCTCCTCGGCAATCGCAAGGCGGACCACCGCCTCCTCTCTCCTCAAATCGGCTTCTTCCATTTTATGCTCGGCCTCTAGCCTGTTACTACTGGCCGCTTCGAACCTCTCTCTGGCCTCCTCTCTTCTGAAATCGGCCTCCTGACTTCTTAAGTTGAACAAAATTTCGCCTCTCTTCGAAGGAGTGTCGGTAGACATTTCGCTTCGCCTTCCCGCCGGTTGTGCATCATCGAATTTTCTCACCCTTTTTGCGACTGGCTCCTCTGGTTGCATCGTGGAACCTGAAAAGTTCGGAGTTTACATCACACTGGAAAAAAAAAAAAACACATTGGATCTAGAGTCCAGACCCTTAAAAACATCGACAAGAAAAAATACTCTTGATTCAATCGGATTTTTGCTTAAATCAAGAACCAAGCCTCTGAATTTGAGCGGATTTCCTTTTAATTTAAGCAAAAATCTGATTGAATCAAGAGTATTTTTTTTGTCAATGTTTTCAAGAGTCTGGACTCTAGATCCAATGTGTTTTTTTTTTTCCAGTGGAGGACCCCGAAGTTAAAAGGTACCTAACTCACATTTTTGAAAAAGAGAGATGGTGGCGTTTTGGAAATCTCCAATAACGGTTCCGTGTGTGTAGACAATTTGTTAGCCCTATCTTACGGCCGTAATGATGTTCGAAATTTCAAATTACTATGTACATCGGAATCAATTCGGTCGACACGGTTTTTACCTTATACCTCGGAACCAAAATGGATACTGGTACCTTTTGACTCTCGAGTACTGATATTAGAAAAAAATAGAAATGAAAAAATTATTAGTCACAATAAATGCCAATAGACATCAAATAATCGAATCAATGTAATCGAGCGAGGCAGAAGGTAAATTCGGAGGCAGTGGCTGGGTTTGAAAGTTGGCAATGCTGGTTTTCCTCCATTTAAATGTATGTAAAACAATCGAATCTTATCGAGGCAGCTTGCCTCTCCTTAAATTGATATTTTGAATGGATTTAAATTGAGGAGAAACAGTGTTGCCAACATGCAAAACAGCCATTGCTCGGAGGTCAACGCGATTTTTCGCCCAATGATGGTTGACGAGGAATTTCTTGAGCAAAACGTCAAATGATGGCTGATGAATGTCGGAGTGAGCACTTTGCTTGGCGAGTTTCTGCAAATTATGCAGGTTCGGATTGCTAAATTAATTCGTGGCTCCTCTGACATAAGAGCTTATCTCTATTTCCACATGAGCCCCGAAAAGCATAGAGTAAAACGAGCTCTCGTCGCAAGTGAGATGCGTCCTTATGTCAGAGGAGCCACGAATTGCTCAACTTGTTGGATGTTGGTCATCAGTCATCAGTAGGCAAATCTGCACGGAGAAAAAAACTTCGTGCGTGGGGCCCGAAGTTTAGGTCATATGGGTCTCAGAAGTTTTCGGATTGAGCATCTGAACACTTTAGGATCCAGCTGCTGAGGTTTGGATCACACATCTGAAACTTATTTTCATACATCTGAGGTACTTCGGTTCTCACATCCGAAAAACTTTGGTTCTCACATCTGAAGTACTTCAGATGTAAGAACTGAAGTTTCAGATGTGTGGTCCGAACCTCGACAGCTAGACCTAAAGTATTCAGATGCTCAATCCGAAAACTTCAGAGATCCATATGACCTAAACTTTGGGTCCCTCGCACGAGGTTTTTTTCTCCATGTGAGCGTCGACCTCCGAAAGTAACCTTCTTACTGTTGGGAAAGTATCAATGGGGGGCTTCTTGTAATCGGAATTACCTTCGTCCATTTCCGGTGCTAAATGTTCATCCGTGTCATCACCAACATGCACAATATTCGGGCTCCTCAGCTCCTCAGTCACGTTGATGAGGTCTCCGTCATCGGAGACTTGGACCGCGGGTGTTGAAATGTTACTGTCCGTCTCTTGAAAGTCGTCCTCTGAAATATACGTCAATACGTTAAGCTCAGGTTCACGGACAGACGCTCCTGTTTTGCGGAGTCTTGCTCCTGAAGTATTTCTACCGATAGAAGTCACGTTTCCTGATGACCTTTTATTAAGTCCTGTCCCTGAAATTTTGGCAAGTCCGACTCCAGAGCCACCACGAGGAAGTCTGGTATCTCTCAGCGGATTTCTTTTCCTCTGCTTCGTGTTCATGAGTGAAGCGCTAAAATGAAGATAACCGGAATCAGGTTGAATCAAATTTGAACTACGTTTATCAATTTTTTCAAAAGGATAGTTTTATTAATTAACACCATGAACTTTAGGGGTATGAAAGCATGGATCAGGTGATTTCCCCATGATTTATAAGCAATACGATCTGAAGTTTCCCTAAAGCAAACTATACATTTTATAATAAGATAATGTAACGGCTGTTTTGCGAAGTTTTTTGGGCACTTCAATGAGACTTTAAGTTGCATTACTCCTCGTGTTTGGTTTTGTTCGATTCAACTCCCAAGTTTAACCATTCGCACCAACAGCAGTAGCAACATTTTTTAATTTTCTTCTATTTCCTAAGATGTACTTTTAAGTTTATCAAACACTAAGGATCGCAGCTTCCGTATCTTACAACTTTAACGGCAAACTGTCAGTAAAAATTGTTTGCAAAGTTTCATGTTAATTTTTTTTTGAAAACGATGTTTAAGTCAAAAACTTTCATTTTAACAAACATCCGGTTTTTTTGCTGTATCTTGCTCAAATTGTTCTTTTAAAGAGACCATTGAAACAAAATCATCTTTCATTTAATATTTAACGTCAGAAGCTGTTCTCATGCTAAGAAAAGAGCTGAATTAGCTCTCATGGCTGAAATGACCGTTGTCCAATTTTTCCTTCTGATTTTCAGAGTGTAGATCTTAATTAACTGACAGGAACCTTGCGAACTCCGATGCCCCTACTTTAATGAAGAATTCTCCCATTGTATCCGACAACCAGATCCCTTGTCTCCCGCCCTATTGGTTTCTTTTTTGCGACAGCAGCAAAAAATCGACGTCCAAAGTGCAAAAATAAGCGCCTCCATTGCGGCGTTTCAAAAACCCCCTCCTTTTTAAATCATCCCGAAAGAAACATGCCAACTTTAAAGCTTGTAATTCGTACAGGATATTCCTTCCAGAGAGAGGACAAATCAGGGAAATTTTAAAAAAATTACGTTGATTAGTTTCTCAAAGAAAAATCAAGGCATGACGGGAAAACGTCGCAAAAGTAGGCACGTGGTTTCATACTAAAGTCATCAGTATTGATGATGATCGATAATTGAGGGCAACTTGTTTCATGAAGTTCAGAAAAAGTTGTAATTACCTCAGTTACGTTGATTTCTGACGCTGAGGCAACCTCATTCTCGAGGTACACCTAGGTATCACATTTTAGACCCACACACAACTATTAACGATTAATTGTGACTTTAATTGTTTTTTTGATCAATTGCAGTGGATTGAAACCAATGTTTTTTTTAATTTAAGGTTATGTACGATCAAAACGTAAACAAAAAGCTTGTATAGAAACTATGGTTACATCCTCACTTCCGCGAATCTTGATGATGTTATGCTGTAGGAGAGGGGAATTTTTAAATGGAATTTGTAGGTTGGACACTGGCCAAGAAAAAACGTGATTCAAAAGCATATTTGCTACTCTTTTTAATCACTAGAAACATACCTGTAACGACGTGAACATCTTTTTAATGATGCAGAACGTTAGATTAACAATTTGTAATTTGGAGGGTTTTCTTTTTTCTTTTTTTCTTTTCTCCAAGCAGCAATAACCAATAACAACACAAACAGCAACATTTCAATTGAGTTGCTGCTAGGCTACTGCTTCCAATCGAAGCTAAGCTAATTTCCAGAGACTAGAAAAAGAATCAATGTAAGGATGAGGAACATTGAAAGTATTTTATAATGGTGCACACAAATTAGATCGGTAAAAATTAAGAACCTCAAAAACGTCAAATAGGAAACATTTGGTTTTGTATGAAATACAAATATACGCAAAAGGAGAAATGAAATCAGAAATTTTTTTTAAAAAAAATCAGTGAATTCAGACCAAAAAAAAAAACAAAAAAACTGAGTTTTTGTTTATTGAAAACTTCCTTAAAGAGTAAAATGCGCAGTAAATGTTCCTTGCGCAGAAAAATCAACCGAGTATGAACGGGTATTTGGGTGGCGACTGTCATGAAAGACTAGGAAAATGTACGAATGGATCCAGTCTCCGCAGTAACTATTTTGCACGTGGTGTGTCCAATCACTTTCGCATTTTTAAAAAGAAGATCGGGCACATCATTTCACTTCAGTGTTAATCGGAGTTTCCCGAAGAACGAAAAAAAATAAATAATTAAAAACAATGAAAAATAAATAAATCAAACCCAACTCAGAGCAGTCAGGGAATTTAATCCAATTTTTTTCTGGACTCTTTGAGGATGCTTTCAGTAATAGAATCATAACATAATTGACACAACATAACATACACAACAACTTCGTAACATAATTGAAATAATCAGGATTGCCATGTAAGAATCCAATTTTCTCCACACATGCTCACAGACTTCTGAATATGTTTCACCGATCAGGCGAGTACGTGTTCAGCTTTAAACGTGCCCAAGTCCAACTTTCAGTTTAACTCTCGTAAGTTTTGCAGAAACTAACGTAATTTTTCAAGCGTATTTTATGGTCCAAGCCGTAATTTTTTCAGGCACGTTTACGACCACACAGATAACTCAATTCTGCATCCCTCTGACGTAAGGGCGTATCTCGATTTTCGCATGAACCCCAGAAAGCATGGATTTATATGTGAAACAGGGCTCACGTGAAAAGACGAATTTCCTCGCAGAAGTGGAAGGAGGAAGCAGCCACATCCACATCAGGTCGTTAGTCTTCCGCGCTTTCCGAAAAAACCGCGTATCTACACAGTAGTAACACTCGCAAGTCGGTAATACAGTTTCCTCCCATTTAAATCCTTCATAAACAATCGATTCTCGGTAGAGCACTCTCTTCGATGAATCGATCGTTTCACATACATTTTAACGGGCGCGACCCAACGTTAACAACTTACGAGAATCTTCTCAGATTGAAAGTTACGCGGTTCTTGCATGGCAGGATAGTTTTTCTGTTCTTCCGCGGTGAGCATTCTGTCCGCCCACCGGTAAGAGTGACCGGTAAATAATTCGGAAGGACTTACATTTTTTCCGAGAGGCGCCCGAGAAAAAATGTTTTTCCCGAGTCGGTTCGATTCCGGAAACAGCAGTAACTCCATTTCGCTATGAACGATAAAGCGTACACGAACACGTGCTAACCATGGTCCACATTCGAGCGGTTTCCTGTTCTTTCCTGTAAACATTTTCGTTCTGTTTCGCCCCACTACGGAAAAGAACAGTAACTCCTCATCGGTATTTGCCTCGAAGTCAGTGGCGTGGCGTGCTTTGCGATGTATCGATTGATGTGTCTTTTAAACTTACGGAAAATGATCGATAAACAGGGTGTTTGCAGCGAACACCTTAATAATCGATTCTTTACCCCAGGTTTAAATGGCATATTAATCGATACATCGCAATTCACGCCACGCCACTACTCGAAGTGCATATAAGCACAGCCCAATCAGGGTCTGCGCCCTAATGGAGTTACTGCTGTCGACGAGTTTCTCGGTCGCCATGAATATTTATCCCGTAAGTTTCACTCATTTTCGAGGGCCGACGACAGTTCCCGATTCGCTGTCCCCGTTTTTCGTTATGTTTCCTCCTTTTTCGAAATGAGTAGTTCGTCTTCCTTTTATTCCTTGTTCCTGTTTCCATTCCTTTTCCCGGAGCCCCCGTTCCTGAGTGCAGTCATTCGATACGGTTCCGACTTCAGTCGCGCGGGGGTTTGTCGTTGCCAACTTTGCGGCGTGAAAATCCTTGACATTCAAGGATGTGTTCCATTAAGGAGGGTATTTTGGCCCTAGTTTAGGTCGAAAATTGAAACAGCTTAGAATAATGCCATGTATGGTCAAATCGACTCTTAATCATCTACCGTGTGAGAACTTGTCCTTATTTGAGGTGTTTTTGAAAGGTTTTTGCCTGATTTACCAGCGCAAAGTAGTGAAGTTTTGCAGTTATTCGAATAATTGCTCATTTTCGGTCCTAAATTAGATTGTTTTTGTATGAGTACAAGCGACTACCACTTTCATATTCGAATATGTTAATCCTTAGTGCACCCATTATAACATTTTTAAAGGAAAAAGTGGTAGTCGCTTGCGCTCATACATAAATAATCTAATTTAGGACCAAAAATGAGCAATTATTCGAGAAAACTGCAAAACTTCACTACTTTGCGCTGGCAAATCAGGCAAAAACCTTTCAAAAACACCTCAAATAAGGACAAGTTCTCATAGGGTAGATGAACAAGAGTCGATTTGACCATACATGACATTATTCTAAGCTGTGTCAATTTTCGACCAAAGTTAGGGCCGAAATACCCTCCTTAACGGGACACATCCTTTCTGGTGCTCTTTAGCTCAAGGGTCAGTCTTTGGTAGAGTAGGTATAAAGGCGTAACTACACACTGAGATGAGCCTAGAAAAGGATTGAATTGTATGGAGGACAGGGTTCATTGCCGAATATACTTACGCCCTTATGTCAGGTAGGCGACGAAACGACAATATTTCAACTCGTAGAAACCACGTCTTACATGGAACGACCAAGCCAGGCATGACGGCATCAACGCACGACGTCCGTGTGGACGCTATGCAAACAACATGGCATAAACTTCGATCGCAGCGTTGCCGGTTCAACCCCGAAACCCGACCATTCCAAATTTCAACCCCTAAAAAGGAATCATCCGAATCGGCAATGGCGGGCGGGCATTGTGCTCAAGGATGCAGCCAGGAGGAAGAAATGCAAAGTAATTTTATTACCTTGGGATTTTCTCCCGAAAGGTCACCGACCCTCATCGATTCGCCGGGCGCCCGGGACGTCGAAAAAAAGCGTGTTTTCTCCCCGTTGTTCGCAAGATTAACTTTATTTTATCGCGCCGGGGTGGTGCGTCCTCCAAGACGTCTCCGTTTCTCGCGCCGCACGGTGGACCGAGCCAATCAGACAGGTCGGACTTGAAATTTATGACTTAAACTGCAAATTTTGATGTTTATGTTGTCATATTTTACTGGAAAAAAAAAAAAAAAAAAAAAAAAAAAAAAAAAAAAAAAAAAAAAAAAAAAAANGATTCAATCAGATTTAAGCTTAAATCAAGAACCAAGCCTCTTAATTTGAGCGGATTTCCTTTTGATTTAAGCTTAAATCTGATTGAATCAAGAGTCCTTTTTCTTGTCAATGTTGTCTCTGGATCCTATGTGTTTTTTTTCCAGTGAATTTAACAGGATTGCCACAGTCAGGGAATATCGAGGAAACCGGGACATTTCAGGGAATTTTATAAAGGCAAGGAAAACCGAGGATCGTTAGAAAAAATGACGAAAATGTCAGGAAAATTAACGAAAATGTCCGGGAAAAGTTAATATGTCACGTTTATTTGTTTTTAGAATGGGTGAGACGCTTCGAACGAAAAATTTTGCCTGAAAACTATTTCTAATCATGTCTTTTTAACCATCCGGCATGTTTCTTCAATCGTCAGGGATTTTTACCAAAATTTGTCAGGGAAAACCGGGAAATTTCAGGGAATTTCATTTTCTAGATTCGGCGGCAACCCTGTTTAAATTTCAAGGAGTGCTCTTAGAAGAAAATTTCAGGAGGAAACCAATGGAACCACTTGTAGAGCCTTAAAGTTTCGTATAAACGGAGTTATAAGCGTTTAAAGTTTCCACATTTTGTCCGACCTCTCCTATTGACTCGATCCGCACTGTGCGGCGGGGAGAAAAAATTGCTCCTCGTTCGTTCCGTTGGCCGGCTCCACCGATACGTCGAGCAACCTGCGAAATAAGCGGGATCGCGAGGGATGCAATCATTGAATGCGCCGCTGTTGGAAATTTACTCGATAGTTGGATTTATATTTGAACTTATTTATGCTAAAAGTAACTATATGCATAGGGATTGCATGTAACATAGTTCCTTTTAACATAAACACGTCCATTTGGAGCACTGGAGATACAAGCTTTGGCCGTGGCTTGAGGACTAGGTTTCTTGGAGGTATTGATTTACATTCTGTAAGGATGCTACCATTCTCGGAGGGGTGGGGTGGTGTTGTGCACGAACGGACTGGTAATTTGGCGGATTTAACCCAAAGCAGCCTAACCACATTTCTTTTTTCCTATTTTTCATTATGCGTGCTGTGACAACAATGATATGCTGCAAATGTTGAGATAAATGCATGTTTCAATACTAGGAATAATTTATTTACCATCGTATGATGCACATTCTTTCAAGGAATAGAGAATATGCAGGTGTCTTAAATTTTGTGAATTTCATCTTTAAAATAATACCACTAGGAAAACTGAGCACGAGGGTATCCTTGGTTTCTACATTGAACTTTTACTGGAGGAAATATGACAAAATAACCTAATCTGT